GAACAGTGATACGGAAGTGTAAACTAAATAAATCTTTCCTCCCCGAGTTGCTTTAGTCATGGTGTTTCATCACAGCAACAGTGACCCTAACAGTAACACATACATCTTTCCTCTTTTTTTTAATTACTTAACGAATGCCCATGAGAATTTGGAGCTGCCATTAAGCCCAAGAAAGCAAACTCTTTAGACCTGGCTTTTATCATGTCTCCTTCTGTTCCTTCTCCAGTTCCCCTGGCCTCTAACAATGAAGCACGCCTGTTGGTGTAAACTGAACTCTCCTGAAGTGGTTGAGGGTATCACTGACTTCACAGACTCACCATTTCCAGAATTCAAAGAGACCTCAGATGACCAGGGGAGGGTGAGCTTGGTGGGCTCTGGGCTGCCCAGAAGCAGCTTCACTAGCCAGACCAGTGCTGGCCATATATACACGCTCTCATATGCACACATACCCATCACACACACACACACACACACACACACACACACACTTCACACTCCTACCTTACCTCTCCCCCCTCTCTTGTCCCTCACTCCAGGAGTGATTGGCAAACATCCTAAGCCGTCTGGTGGGCAGGATTTCCAGACTGGCAGTTGTAGGCTGGTTCACTTTCTCCCCCTCCCATTGGAGGGAATGGATAGCTGAGCAATGTTCACAACGGACACAATCCTCTTTCAAAATCTCTCTCAGATCCCATCTGATAACTGCCAACTTTGTGATGATTCCTTAATTACATGAACTATAATCCCGGTTCTTTCAGCCCTGCCTGGTCCTATGCTGAAGGCGAGAGAATTAGTCTCTGCCCAGCTGGTGACAAACATACCCATGTCCCCCACCTTGGAAGCAGGAACCAGGGCTCCTGTGACAGAAGTGAAGCAGGTCCTCCTCAGGTTTCCCAAACACTGACAAGAATCTGCTTTTCCCGAGCCCTTCACTGTCTTCACCAAGAAGAATTTTTGTCCTTAACCAAACACAAACCCTGACAAGATTTCTTCTAAATGAATCAGTGCTTCAACAGTGAGCTGATGTGACATCTCTTAAAAGAAATGAAATATTTAAAGACAAACTTTTCATTTCCCCCTGAGGAAGAGACCCCTTAATATTTCCATCAACCTTGACGTGTTTGAATCACAGAGCTTTCATCCCTGTAGACAGATGATCATGACTCACCACAAACGGGTGACTGTGGGCTGCACAGGATTCTGACAGCAAAGGTTCTCCCCAGGGAGCTGCGTGGAGCCACCACATGCTGGGCTTCCTGTTAACCAACCTCTGCCTGCGTCATCACAGAGCCCAGGGATGGACTGGGGGTAACCCTGGGCAAGCTTTGTACTGTGTATCATCACAAGACTCCACACTGGAGCATCTACCCTGATGCCACTATGTGAACAAGACCTCACCTGGGATAAGAAAGAAATTGCATTTTTTTTTAATTTCAGGGTTTGTTAAAGGAAAATATATTATTGCTTCTTAGAATAAGTTTTACTTAAATATACTTTATATTCAATCAGTTATATCCACTGCTGGAGACTGAGTATTTGGGTTTCCCACCAAAATTTCTATGTTGAAACCTAAGCCCCAAGGTGATGGTATCAGGAAGTAGGGTCATTGGAAGCCATTAGGTCTTAAGGCAGAGTCCTCATGAATAGTATTCACCTTGATAAAAGAGACCCAGAAAACTTGCTGCCCCACTCCCAAACCCCCGAGCCCCTTCCCTGAATCAGTGAGGATACAGAGAAAGTTGTCCAAAGAGTCTTCACGGGCCCCTGACACGCTGTCATCTGGTTGGGCTCCAGACTCCAGAACTCCAAGAACTCAATTTCCATGTTGATAAGGTACCTGGTCCAAGGTCTCAGTGTAGCATTACGAATGGACAAAGATGTCCATCTCTACGAAGAGTTCAAGTTTAACCACGCTCCACACTACTGATACATTCTAATCCCTCTCCATAAACCTAATGTGCTCTCCACTCTAACAATCAAGATAGAACATGAGGATGGGGGAGGGGAGGGGTTGCTCAATTCCCCAAAGCTATCGGGGTCCAGCCCCTCGATAGCCTTCACCCAGAGTTCCAGAAGAGACGCTACCAGCGACGGATTAATCTGAGGGGTTCTCTACTAAATCTACATACACGAAACTCTTTAGTCCGTGCACTTTGTTCTTCGGAGTCCGTCCTGTCTACACAGCTCCTCTTCTGCTCTCATGACTACCCAGCTCCTTTCTTGCCGGATTTCTCTCTACATTTATCTGCCATCCCCTCTAAGCGCTATCTTGATTCCTTCATCTTAGTTCTGCCCATCTTGGTCTTTTTCTTCTTACCCATTAGTTCTTCCCCCACCCGGCTCCTCCACATCTTCCATCTTGTTCTTCTAGTTCTCCATCTAGTTCTCCAGTAAATGTTGTCCTCAAGTCTCTGAGGTTCACAGTTATATACCCATGCAATAGCAATGCTCTGGCCAAGGCAAGGTCACCAGGCTTGAATTCCCTCAGGGTCAAAAGGAGGGGCAATAAGATCCACACAAAGGAGCAGTAATTGACAACCGTCATCTGCAACCCAAAAGGGAAGTGACTAGTGGGGAAATGAATTAACTAAAGGCTAAATTCGGTTAATATCTAAGAAGAGAGATTTACACACTCAACTATATTCATAGACGTGGTTAGTTGAAAATGTTAAGAATCTATAAGTTGCTGAGTCATGAGTGAAAATAAAACTGCGTGTGTGTGTGTGTGTGTGTGTGTGTGTGTGTGTGTGTGTGTGTGTGTGTGTGTGTCCTATCTGTCCAAGCTATCTGCCATTTTCTGGCAGGGTGGGAGAAGTGTGCTCAGTTGCTAGGCAACTTGGCTAGGCAACTTCCATCACAGCTAGATGCTCCTGGTAATTGTTAAAGGGAGATCTAAAACTAGAGATAAGATTTGGAAAAGGAGAAAGTTAAGCTTAATTAGCACATCCGCCAGGCCTTCTCAAACACATAGTCTGGGTGCTTAAGTCTGTTCTTAGAGAGTCTGTGAGGTACCTCAGATAAGATCCTTTCATCTGTCCAGGGACGATCCTGGCAGGAGGCTGCTAATGACGATAATTACAGAAAAGCCCAACATTAGGGATTCTGACTGTGTCTGTCCTCGCACAGCTGGAGAAGGTATATGAACACTTTAATTGTACAGTGGAAATTGTGCCCAGGGGATGATGGGAAAGCTACAACAGCCTACGAGAACTTCATCTCAGGAAACGGCTAACAATCAAAAGTCAGTATCACCAAGACTCCTTGAGCCTTGGCCTCATCCTCTGGAAGAGTTCTCAACTCCTCCAGGTCTAGCTTTGTCATAATCAGCCGAATGCATACACCATTGAGGCTCGCAGCACTCAGTCAGCAAAGTGCTTGCCTTGTGCAGCCGAGGACCTGAGTTCGATCCCCAGAACCTACACTAAAAAGCTGGGTGCGGTGGCGAGTGCTTGTAATCCCAGCACTGGGGAGGCAGAGACCGGCCCTAACTGGCCAACCAGCCCAGCCTACTCCATGAGCTTCAGGTCAAAGACTTTGTCTCAAAACACAAACAACAGGAGCTGGAGAGCTGGCTCAGGGGTGGAGAGCAATTGTTGCCCTTGCGGAGGAGTGCAGTGCCCAGCATGCGCCATGGCTCCCAACCATCTGTAACTCCAGTTCGATGGGATCTGACTCGCTTTTTTGACCTCTTTGGACCCCAGGAATGCAATACATCCCTGTAAGCAAAAAATTCATACACAAAATAAATTTCTAAAAAAAAAAAAATTAATCAAACAAAACAAAGTAGACACTGACTGAGGAACACCACCCCGGGCTGACCCCCGGTGTCTGCACACCTGCACACGTGTGCACCCATGGCACACACACAGATACAGCACACGCCTGCACCTCGCAAAGATCCCTCCTTCCCACTGCAGTCAGGTGTCCTGTTCTCACTGTAGCAGGGCCATCGAGCCACTTCCTCTACTGTAGATGAACTTGCCTTTGTAGAGCACAGTGTGTCGTCTTTGTGTCTGGCTTCTCTAGAGCAACGCACTGTCCTGAGAGTCACTCATGCTATCATTTCACACGTTGCTAATTTATTTTAATAACAGAGTGGCATTCCGTTATATGGATGTACAATTCATTCATCCATTCTCCTCTCAGTAAGTGTGCTTGGGTTGTTTCCAGATTTTTGCCACTAAGAACGAACTCCTGTGAACATAAGGTAGAGACCTTCTGCAGACAGATGTACATGACCTCCTAGCATATACACCTAGAGTGTGGCAAACTGGATCTTTAAGAATATATCAAGTGTGGGGTGTGGTGGCTCATGACTTTAACCCAACCACTCAGAAGGCAGAGGCAGGAGGATCTCTGTGAGTTTGAGCCCAGCATGGTCTACACAGGAGTTCCACCCAGGGATACATAGTGAGACATTGTCTAGAAAGAAAAGATTAAGTGACACATTATGGTGACACATAGCTATAAAATGGACGTGGAGGCAGGGGGATCGTGAGGGCAAGACCAGCCTGGGATGAATAGTGAGCTTAACGCCGTCTTGGAAGATAGACAGACATACAGACAGATTTTTTTGCATAATCACTAAAAGAATGTGGGATAGGAGCAGTGGACTAGAGTTTGCTTCCCAGCACTCATGTTGGACAGCCCACAATTGTCCGTAACTCCAGCTCCAGGGCATCTGACACCCTTTTCTGGCCTCTGCCGGCTTGAGAGACATTTCCAGGTCACAGAGCCAACAAAATGGCAATAGACTCTCCGAAAGGATTCATGGACATTTCTAAGAAGAAAGAATTTACAGTTTTGAGTTTTCTAAAGTAAATGTGCAGAGAAACAGAGAGGAAAGGAAAAGACGGGGGAGAAATCTATTTGGCTTTCTGCTCGGGACCCCAAGGTCCCCTGTCAGCCTCCCACGTGCTGGTGTCACAGATATCAGCCACCACACCCGACACTCGTTTTCAGCAAGAATCAGACCTTATTTCATCTGTATGTGTCCTCACCGGCTACCGTGGTCTGTTTGTTTGCTTGTGGTTCTGTAGAATTCAAGGCATCAGGCACACTGAGCCACGCCTCCAGCTTATGACTGCTTCTCAATACGATACTCATAACAGCAAACCGCCAGGTCTCAGCTCTCCACCGGGAGCCCTAGACTCTGGCATAGGTGAGGCGTGGAGTTGAAGCCTCTAACCATCGCAGCCTGCCGTTCTTACGGCGGGCGCACTCTAGCCATACTCGGCATCTCTATTCCAACACAGCCCTCTCTACCTCAAATTCATGTTTATTCATGAGGAGGCAGCTCCTAGGAAACCTCCCTTCCCTTCCTCCCTCCGCGGCCTGTTGCTGGGGTCATTGTAATCCCTCTCAAGCCAGAGTCCTTAACTGACCCCTTACCTCTGAAGGCCCCCAGGGTCAGGGAGGACACAAGGCTGCCTTGGTGACAGGCACTGTTTTGGTCACTCATTAGCTCCAAGCATGGCTATGACCTGCACTTCTGAGCTGAGCTGATTCTCCTGTTGTTTTGGCTGCACAGACATCTGTTAATGGTTCTATTCAATCTCTGCGGTCTCTTCCTCTCCAAAAGTGCTACCAGTTTCTACATGTTTTTAACTGCAATTGGGTGGCTTCCCTTTCTAATTAGCTTGAGTGGCCTCTTCCCGATAATGGTGGCTATAATTATGCTGCACTTAACTCCTAGAGGACTGTTTTAAAATCGGACGCTGGATAGACAAGGTGACCTTTTCCCACCGTTGTTTTTCTGCACTTGTTTCTGAGGAAGAGAAAGACATTGCTCCCCACATGCAGAACGGTTCGCATGGCTCAGCGGTACAGCCTGCGACCCACCTGTGTTCCTTCCCTTTATTCTCCTCAACACCGCGCAGAGTGGCTGAGTCAGTGGGTTCAGGGCCAGTGAGTGTGTATTTTGGTGATGTGTGACACTGTAGGAGGGAGATGGTGATACTGTCATTATTTAAAATCACTTCCGCCCACCAGCTGAGTCACTGGAACGTCACTGCTGAGGATTCTGCATCAGTCTCAAAAATATCCCTGTGCAGAGCTTCTCTCCCTGGGTGGCACACCACGTTTCCCTCAGAGGGAAGCACTGGTACCTTCCACAGAAGACGTCCCCTTTGCACTGCCCTGACCACATGATGCCGCCCACCCGCGCAATCCTTGACCCGTCCAACTAGCATTCTGAGGGAAGCCAAGCAAATAAATATCTGTGCTTTCCAAGAAGAATCTAGAAGGCTAGAGATTTGACCCCCATCTAAGTAAAAGAAGCCCAGGCTAGAATTTAAGTTTCCTCCCTCCTGGCCTTGCCCTGAACTTACAGCAGAAGGAGTAAGGCTCTTGAGCCTGGGAGTAAGAACCTCTCCCAAATACCATCAGCAGTGAAACCACAGCTGCCTGAAATAACTGGGTTGCCTCGAATTCAACTGCAGACTTCAGAACCAGCTAGAATGCTCCCCCAGACTTCAGAACAAGCTAGAGTGCTCCCCCAGACTTCAGAACCAGCTAGAGTGCTCCCCCAGACTTCA